CTCCACACTCCATGCGGTCCTGAACACTGTGGACACTTCAGTGGAACTCTATCGACCCACTTCCTTTTAAGACCTTTGTCGGGAAGCTTTCTCATTAACGTAATTGTCACATCTTGATTGTCTAAGTGACTTGAATATTTGCTTATCATTTCTTCATATGGGCTTCGACTACCATATGAGGCCGACCATGTTATTGTGTTATCGCCCCCAAACATTGACCTTAGTTTAATGAAGGTTTTAATGTATTTTGACATGTGCCCGAGTATCGAAACCTTCAACCAACAATCGGAATCTTACGATAGTAACCTGGCAAAAATATCCCTCGCGGAAGTCCTGAGACTCCTCGTGATATAATAACGCTTTGATCATCGCTAATGCAAATAAAGTTCGATAATTAATTGTTAGTTATGGTACTCGGACCACCCCTCAGGGTAGTGCAAAACACTCAGCTAACAAGCCAACTGGGAACTAGTCGTTATGTTAGTACCAAATATACCCGTGAAGTGGTGAATAAACGAATGTGAATATATGAAAGTCATATATTTGATCTACGCGGTAAAGTGTAATATTATAAGAATGAAATTATTCGGAGTTACTTTGAAGTTAACCTCTGAAAACTTTAGATTAATCAAGATTGAAAATTATGATCCTAAGGCTTTCAGAAAAGGCAGATCAATCTTTATTCAAGGTACCATATGAGCTATTGTAGCTTAGAGAGGTCTACATCCGAATCAATTTAAAAACAACCGTTGTCAAATACGATCATGTACATCTGTATCTATTGTCGATTTCCAATTCGTGACCACCTGGAAGCTTTGCTTTGTGACGACCGTCAGCAAGATGAGTATCGTGCTGCTGTGCGATCTGACCACACGATTTATTTTCAAGGTGAGAGCTGCAGCCACCAGTCAACTGTATACGAGTCAGGAGAAGCTCTCTCATCGCTGCAAAAAGCCTCAATCCAGCTCACGGTCTAAAGCAGCTAGAAGTCTAGTCCGCAGAGTGGTTCGTGACCAGTGAAGTGTCTGTTCTCAAGCCAACCCGTAAATTCAGAAACAAACCACAACAGACAAGTGCGAGAATGGGAGCAGTGACTTCAGCCAACATCGAGTCGCAAATGTGGAAGGAGGCAGAAAGAGAGCTGTTAAATATAGCATTTATAAAGCTAATGAAGCCCTATTAGAAGTTCTTTTAGATTTACCACGCTCTGTTTTGCCGAAGAATGTTCATCCAGCCAGTATGGCCCTGAGATTGCGCCAGAAATTACGACACATCGACCCGAAGAACGTGAAATTTAAACTGGAGAAGGAACACATCCCTATGACTTCTTCATCACTGATATCCAGGTTAGTATCATAACTGCAGGTTACTTTATTCCCCTTCCCCCCCCTCCCCTTAGCCGTAATTTTTTCTGATTCTGTAATGATTAATTTTTCATGAATATTATTTTTGAAACTGCTCCCGGCCATCAACGCGTTCGTTGAATCAGAGTATCATGCGAAACAGGTAGACATCTTGTCAGAGGTGAGTCTGTCAACTGGAGTGATACCTTAGTGTGAATTCACTTCACACTTAAACGCAGGCTTTTACACTTTCCAGCTTTCATGGCTTAAAAACGTCTTACTCATAATCCTCCAAACTGCAGGGTGTAAGTTGATGACGCAAGTGTCACTGGAAATGAGAGAGCCGTACATTTTTAACCTATTTCTTATCAAAGTAATCCTATTTTCAAGAACTTGTTACCTTTTTTAATATTTATTTTTATTGGGGCTGAACACCAACTGGCTTATAGTCTTCTTCTCCAGTTGCTATTTGACATGCATGGTTTATAGATTTAAATTTAAATTTAAATTATTCGATTATATATTTGCGCATGCAACGAATTCAATAAATCTAACATCTACAACATTGCAAGTGGAATAAAACTGTTTTAAATACTGGTTGGTCAAGTAGGTTCTTCAATACCTAGGCTGATCTACTCCAGTCAACTCTGTTTGAAAGATGCTCTTTGATTTGTACCTTCTAAATCATTCATGAAATCCATGAAGTTCAGCCAATAGTGAAATTATTTAGCACACTACTAACACCGAGAGAAAAACAACCGCTAAAAATGGAGGGATTAATAATGCAACAAGTAAACTACAAAAATTGAAAAGCTCGTTTGTTCCTTAGTATTGATATAAACATTCATTTTCTGGTACACATGTACATTAAAGATCAAAAAATATAAATACACCAGCGGATGGACATATACATATACTAAGATAAAACGAAGCAGAAATACATCAAAGAGCAGAAGTTTGCAAACATAGGCGCGCGTAGATATGGAATTTCTTTTTGAGTGCTCAACTCCATAGCTCACGAGTGACACGTCGAGTTAAACACGACAAGAGAAATTCCATATCTACAAGCAACCATGTATTATTTGGTTTATTATAGAAATAAGATAGACCTTTACTGACGAGAAAAATTGACGTTATCAACGTAGAAGATAAAAGGGTCGATAATCCCCTAATAAAAATCTTAATGTGCGTTGGCGCTAAGGCTCAAGACGAAAAAAAATTCGTCGAATCTTTACTAAAACAACAATGGACGTAGTTTTTAATGTACAAAATTCTCAGTTATTGACTTTGTTCTTACCGACAGAAGAAATCTTTCAGGCACACACCCAACTGATACAAAATCGGCCTGTGGCAAATCTTCCAGCAGTCGATTTTCGTTCCCAGCTGCGAGAATTGTCATGACCAAAGCCACTGAATACATAAATTTCGGTTTTTCTTTTCGTATTTTGGTTTTCTGCATTCATCAAACTGACCGAGTGGCGCGAAAGGCGAGTGACGTGTCAGCAGCTGATTGGTGATATCAAACACACGTGATGATACCTTGCAGCCTTTTTTTATAATACTTCTCATAGGTAGTTATTCATCAAGAAAAGTACAAAAGTTTGTAATAACCGACCATTTTTCTACAAGAGCTTCCCACAATGATCAAAGAGATATTAACTCTGACAATTGCTGTTGCGTCCATATAATAAGAAACCCTGTGTCGTCATCGTCAAGAAGTTTATCATGCTCCATCTATAGGCGGTCTTTTATGCAATTTTGTTGGAATTTTGCAAGTTAGTCCTAGCATCTTGTTGACTTGACGGCTCCTTGGACTTAAAGGAAAGATAAAGCTGTAATTGTCAGCATAATAGTAAGCTTTTGGCAGATGTTGTTCAAAGATTTCGGAGCTCACAGCGCGAGAAGCGCGCGTAGGGTAGCCTCATAATTATAGTAAATAGTAGTAATAGTAACTCATAAAGCCAAAAAAATTTAGACTTACGTGTGCTACTTTTAGCATGCGCGGCCAACTGCATTACAGGCACTATTTAAGCCATTACATAACGGAGGGGTGAGAGAGAAGGTAATGTGCAGGCGCGGTTGCGTGCGTAACTTGGATACCCATTAGTGTGGGCCTGGAAACACTAGAGTGCACACGGTTAGGCATTACACGAAGTCTTCACGTGTACTAGTCGCGCAAGCAAGTAATTTGCAACACGTGTTTTGAGCGGGAGAGGCTTTGTCGACCGGAGAACCGGAGAAAAGCATGATCATTAGTCAAGTTCGTGTAGAAAGAGTTTTAAGGAGAAAGATTGAAGGCCATGGAAAAAGATTCGAGTGAAAATAGGCCGGAAAGAAAGAGACAGGGCGAACAAGGAGAGCAATAAGTAAAAGGCGTAGAGTGAGTCGAGAAAAAACGCGAGAAAGAGCTAGATGTTATGGCCCAGAAAAATTCAAACCTCCTTTTACCAATCGTCGTTTGATAGTGGCTTCACTTTATAATTCAAATCCCGTTTCGGTAAAAATTTTGGCATTGGCCGCTTTAAAACCTTCGCGCAAGTTGGAATAATCGCGCTGGAATAACATTTCAAAGTGTTCGTATTCTTCAAGTTATTTTTCTCCTATCGTTTGGAATGTTTAGTACAATCGTGGCGTTAAGGGAAAAGAAGTTATTTCAGGGATCAAGTTTTGCCTAGAAAGTTTCAAATGATAGCGAACGGCGTGAGCAAGTCTGTCATTCTATCTTCAGTTGATTAACTACCGCAGGGTTTACTTTATTGACTTAAAAAATCACCCTTGGTCGAAGATGTGTGGTTTTACCCCAAAAATGAAGTAATGGCCTTACCGAAAATTGAAATAAAATGATATTGAGTAAGCGAGCTCATGTTAACATAAGTCTGACTCGGTAATTTGATTTTGACAATATTGTCATGAGAGAACCCATCAAACATCTAAGAATTAATTATTATTACGGACCGCAAATGTGTGGTACAACAAACTCACAGGTAAAATGGAGTTAGTCCTACTGTGGGGGGAGTGAATTTCAGTGTTCGGTCATGGTACTTCTCGGCACTATGTTTTCATGCTTTCTACTCGATTCGTTTGAACTTCAGGAAATGGTTTGTCTCACAAAATATGGAGCCACTTTCTCTTCGCCCAATATCTCGAGGCGTACTTATTGCTCTGGTTATGATGAACATGCTTGTGATACATTAATCTTTTCCTTATGCTAGAAACTGGAGAATCAATCTCCGAAATTGATAGTCAGCATCGCGTCCGAGCTATGATCATGTATTGAGACGGAGTCCTGGCAATTTGAGCTCACAAGGACGCTGGTAAGCACATGGTTTGCGAAAATAATTGTTGCTTACAGTTTTCGAATTCAAGAGCAGTTTTTGAGAATTCGCGAGTCCGCTGCTGTAACCTTCCTGGATATTTGCTGGTAAATTAATTATGTTACAATGTCGGAATTTCATGGGCGATTAATAATAGTAATAGGACCGAGTGTAGTCCAATTCGGTCTGTAATCATACGAGTGCTTAACAAAATCGGACGACCGCGAAGCGGGAGTCCGATTTGTTAATCACGAGTATGATTATAGGCCGAATTGGACGACACGAAGTCCTATTACAAATAAATCATAACCGTTACGATTTCCGAAAAAAAAAACCAAATAAATTTATTTGAGAAAGGGCTTTTAATATTGATCATCCAAAACAAAATCATTACAATCTTCGAAGGAGGCGAAATGCAAAGTTTAAAAACGGCTTTTGTTACAAAGATGAAAAGAGAAATTAAGAAAAAGACGAAAATCACTCGAGCAAAACGGTTACTTAGTAACAAGAAGTCATTCCACCGTTCAAGTGTCAATCAATCAAGTAATCAACCAGGTGTTACAGCCAAGGAATGAAAAATCCACACATTGATCACAAAATTGCGTTGTCTTAAGTTTCGTAAGGTAACTACAGCTATCTCAAGAAACTAAAGATAGCATCACATTGAACTTTTTGAAGAAACTCTTTTAATATATCAATTGACTAGTCTGAGTCCAAGTTGATGATTCTGTGCCTTTTTCTCCGACTTTGGCTTTGTGAGGGATCTGCAGATGGCACGTTGTTGTTTGTGTTGAACACACACTGGTTGAACACTTGAAAAGGTGCCTGTTGGAGATGTTTTGTTGCCATTGTGACAGATTGGGAAGGTGTGAAAAAGGAAGCATATTGCTTGACCCATACGAATTAGTGGGGATGTTTTCCTTCATGGTAAACAACTTCCAACTAATTTCATTACTTGGCCAATTCGATGCTCACCCATTCTAGATTGGCGTACCAAACACTTGTGGTGGGCCTAGGAATAATTGCATGGTACAAAGGGCCAGAATTTCCGGTGTCCACCCCAGTGCGGTAAAACAGTCGTTCACACCCTCTCTCCTGAGTACGTGTCCTACAGAGTTCCACCTTCTTCTTCGCACCTCACAGCTTATTTCATTGATCCCTGCCAATTCAACTACTCTCTTGTTTGTCATTCTTTGCAACCATCTAATCCTCAGTTTCCGTCTTGGGCATTGCCATTGGAAACTGTTCAGTTTTCTTTTATCGGTCTGTGTGATCTTCCATGTTTCACAACTGTACAGCAGCACTCCACTAGCTGCCCACACCTTCCATAGCCTCTGAAATTTCAGGGGCTGTTCCTAATATCTTAGCTGCCTCCACCTTCGTTGCGTACAGTAGTTCTAAGATACGCAAACTCCTCCAAATCTTTCACTTCTTCACCACTCACCACAATGTTCTCCCTGTTCCTAGCAAACTCAGTCCTAAGTGTATTGCACTTTCTCGCATTAAGTTTAAGGCCTACTCTACTCAATAGAATGGATGAGATAAAAATACAAAAGTTTAACCAATAAGTTACTCTATGATTAAATATATTTCACTAAAAAATCCGATAAAAAATTGAAGAGTCTTCTCTTACATTTAACTTCATTTTAGGAAGGTTCAGATTCCAAGGAAATCAGGTTCAAATCAAATGTACGGTAAGCACACTCTGAAGATGCTCCGATAAAACATATTTTCTGACTCCTTTAATATATTTTATTTTATGTAAAACACTTCAAACAATATCTTCGCCTTTGATTTTCAGGCTACACATCCACTGAAACTGTTTGTAATTGTATGTGCTGTCTATGCTCTTATCATGTCTAGTCTTGTTAAATTCATTACTAATTCCTTTAAAGTTTAGGTACAAGTTTAACTAGTTTGCAATAGGAAGCTTTATAATAAATCTTAGTCACAAACACTTACATTTGAAATGAAGATAAGGCATGGCTAGCATTCGTAAAATGTTCTTACCCTTCAGTGTATGGCTGCTTGATTGGGGTTGAAGAAGTACCTTTGAAGCAATACGATGCGGGTAGCCTATCGAGTATGGCCATTCTCTTCTCATCAAAATTTCACTCATTCTCTTGGATGAATTTTTTGTTCAAAATTTATCAACGGAAATAGATGGCGACAATGATTTAAATGGTGAGTTTGATTTCCTGGTAAAATTATCTCCACTCTCGTCAGCAATTTTACCAGCGGTAGAGGAATTGCTATCGCTATCATCATTTCGCTCAATGCTTTCACCTTTCTGTTTAGACAGATTTCTCTTACTCTGTGATGCATTTCTGATCCCTGTGAAATTTTCATCCCTGGGAGGTGATTTGGTGTATTTGACACCTTTAATAGTTCTGTTCTTTGGTCCATCAAAAGAATCTGAATTCCTGGATGACAGTGTGCAGCGGTTAACAACTTGACCATAAAACTTAACTCCTAACATAAAGCCGAGAATGAGACTTAACAACACTGCCGTCATGACAGCCACAGCCAGCAAGCCTTTGTCATCCGAATCTAAGAAGAAAATGTGAAGTTAAAAAACTCAACCAACTGAATCCACATTGCCTCTTCAATGAATCAATTTGCAATTACCGTAAAGATTTGATTTGGCACCCTCTTTCCAATAAGCGCCCCCTCTCAAATAAGTGCCCCCCTCAAATTTGTGCCCCTATTCAAATAAGCACCTCTATCGGGTAAGCACCCTCATTCCAATAAGCGCCTCCATACCAATAATCGCTCCTATTCCAACGCCACTATTCAGTTTTAGTACTAGTACTTTTAAAGTACATTTACATTGAGATAAACCGTTATCAATCTTCTTTTAACTGCTCACTTAAAGTCTCATGACAAAAACAGCGGTCTTAGTCTCCCATGAGTGCACTGTTCCTTCAAACGAAAGAAGCCGTCTTAAATATTTGCGACGATTGCTTGGCTAGTCGTTCTAGCTAGGAAGGATCCAGGGATAACGAGTCCATTTTCCTTCTTTTTTTTTTTTTATCCTATGCAAATAAACATCAAAGCTTTGTTTCGCAATCTGCTGTTTCTCAAAAAAGAAATATGCGCTGTCCCCAGCGAGCTCCCTTGAGGTACCAAATGCAAATAAGCACCCCGGGCTCTAACTCGAATCATTACAGTTGGAGGAACCATAATGGGACGAATCCACTAATCGGAGACCTTTCACAAGTGTCTCTTTTGTCTTGACCTACACGTTAGTCGTCAGGGTTGCACGAAAGTTTCTTGAACGCGGGGAAGTAAGATTCAAAGAGTGAGGTGACAATGTAAGCGTTATAGTAAACCACCAAACTACCTTAGTAGTATTTACCTGTCCCATCTGTTGCTGGAGTAGGTTCTGAAAGAAAACGTTTTCATTTAGCAGGTAAACAATACAGAGGGTTGGTGGAAAACAAAACTTAAGTGCCACTCACGCTTAGAGCGGTCCCCTCGACTTCCCGTCGGAAAAAGGTTTTCGTTTATTTTTTGCCCATGGAAAGGGTTTAGGACACATGTTTCAAAAATAGTTTAGTTGTTCTCCAATTCTCTTTTTTTGCGTCGTCACAAGTCAAAAATTATTTTTGGCCAGACCACCCTTGTGAACAGCGATCGAAAGTGTAAGATTTTGTCCAGCGCGCAGCGACTGCAACAATGTAGCTCACGGAATTCTATCTTGCCACAAGTTACAAGATGTATTTAGTTCACAGACAAAATATGGAAACTTCAGCTGAAATATTTTTCATACCAGCGTGATCAGAGAAGACTCTTTTCTTGGACCCTCATTTGCATATCAAAAATTCACTACTTTGTACGAAAGAATTCTCAAATGCAGGCGTTAATCGGGCTGAAAAAGCACATCAGTGCATACTTTATACACTGCCTCAAACTCGCGGGTATATCTCTAGCTTCCATCCACCAACTTCTTAAAAACGCAAATCCATGTGTTTGCTCAATTGCGCTCGTGTCAAAGATCATTTGCATGATTCTTAAAATTGACCAAGATCTCTTTCAGTTCATCGGGTTCCGTGAACTAAAACCTATTTCAACTTGTTTTTGTGTCCTTTTAAGCAACGCGACATGTCTGTTATAACCAGAGTGCCAAATTTTCTTTCATTTTGATCTTCTCCACACTGTGCGTAGTTCATGACCTGATATTTCAACGTATATTATCGAGAAGGCGCCTTCCGATCACCTTTGTCTACTTTGGAAGTCACTTAAGCGCGCAAGCGTTACGACCGATCACGTTTACGCAACGTTTTAGGATAACTCGGCATCTATTCTCCATTTAGTTGCTGTGAAAACCTAAAATCCTCAACGTAGAAGATAAACGAACGAAGTTTGAACGGTCAAAAGGAGATCTTGGTCAATTTTTAAGAATCATGCAAATGATCTTTGACACGAGCGCAATTGAGCAAACACATGAATTTGCGTTGTTTTTAGGAAGTTGGTGGATGGAAGCTAGAGATATACCCGCGGGTTTGAGGCAATTGAGGTATTTTTTTAGCTGGGTAGGTCGTCCGTTATCCTAATGTTTTCATAACTTTCAAAAGAATGAAAATATCGCATCACTTACTTCAAGAGGAAAAAGACAATTTACCTAAACGCACAAGGGTATTTTGCGATCTATTGTCTCTATTGTCTAAATACTTCTGTGATTAAAAAAATCGGACAACTGCGAAGCGAGAGTCTGATTTGTTAATTACGAGTTTGATTACAGACAGAATTGGACGTCACGAAAGTCCTGTTACCAATTAATCAAAATTATGACAATTTTTTAAAGAAACTAGACATCGGTTATACGTTTTCATAAAACAACAGTTAACTCGGCGAAATGCAAGACAACAGCGCGCACACGTGACGCGTTCTGTCCACTAACACAGGCATGACATGTTAATTGTCCCTTTAACTGTCCTATTTCACTGTCCAATTACAAGCATGACGCGTACACTGTCCCATTAGTGCTAAAATCGAGCTGGTGATGACCGATCACGTTTGAGAATTTTGTAATAGTTTACACTATGTTTGTAATCATGCTTCTAATCAATAAAGAAAATCAGACTCCTGGTAAGCGGTCGTCCAATTTTGTCAATCACTCACTTACAGACCCAATAAGACTCCACTTAGTCTAACCATTACCAATCATCACTGCGTCCAGGTAAAATCTCACCGATAACCATTAGTTTTTAACCCCTTCTTTCTCAAGATCTCATCAGTAATTTTCCCTACTGTATGCTATACAATTCTTATGATTTTAGTTCGGAGAATTTGGTATTGGATGAACTAATAATCCTCTAAATGATATTTTTCTTTATTCTTATCACTGGTGTACTTGATATTGGAAGGATACTGTGAGGAAAAGTTCTCTCTTGCTTATTCATGGGAGTTAAAGGGTCAATCAGATGCCACATATTTTTACCTTTTTTGGTCATACTTTAAATCGATACCACCATAACTATTGAAAACATTTTAATTTTTTTTGTCTCATATTATATATATTGATATAAATACATTGTATTTGCATGCACTTAATTCAGCCTTAGGCTGCGAGGTTGATTATAGGCCCCATTATTGGTAAACGTACTTGTTTATCATATGAGTATGATTAAAGAGAATTAAATTTGCATATTGAATTCAGACGGTTCAAAAACCGTTGACATCCTAGTACTACAGAGACATTTTTCTCAAGTGGTTCACCTGAGAAATTGAGTAATATTTCCAGTTTTGACCTACAAAGGAAAGATCGTCAAACAAGCTCGACCAGAAGGATCACTTAACACAAAACAACCGAGTTAAACACCCATGTCGTCTCGACTTCGAAGACCTTGTATTGGAAGTCCTATGACTCGAGGTCTATCTCTTCAAATCCAAGAAACCACTACTTATGACAGATGTTTATCTTTCCCCAAATGTAAAGGCCGAATACGACTGTAAGCTCGCCGAAAATACTGAACATGCTTCGTTATTGAACGTGGAGGCTATTCTGCTGGAAGAAATGAACTTGGATTGACCTCCAGAGAAATTTTAATGACCATCAACTGGTCAAAGAGTTGAGAAATTCCAAGTTTACTCAACCTGTATCGTCTGGTACACGTCCCATCAGTACATTATGCCTTGATAATGTATGGATCTACAAACTGGATCGGATTGTAAAGATCGATGTCCAGACATTGGTATTTGTGACCACCAGCCAGTTTTAGCTGTACGTTTGAACAAATATTATAACATCTAATTGAAAAAAAAGCATATCACATTCGCCGCAACGAGCCAGCAACAAAAACTTACTTGGGACGCTTTCCATACTGAGTATATGTGTTGCATCTACCTTCAGGTTCCCCACTTGTCCGGAAGACACCCTCGCTTGCAAATCCTTCAACAAGTCGTGACTTGTTTTCGAAGCTTCAGCAGCAAAATTTATCGTCATTTGACAGAGCACACTTCCTCTCCTACGTATATCACAAAAAAACGTGTCCTTCACTACAGGAAAATTCTCTACTGTTTTCTTTATACTTCTTTTTCTACTTAAAAGTACAACTACAGAGGCAGAAACCTATGAATCTGTGCTAGTCTTGGTAAACGAATACAGACACGCAATAGACAATAGGGAATACGTGAAATCTCCGTTTCCCCCTCCTCCACCCTCCTCTTTATGCCGGTCATAAATCCGCAAGTTTTATTCTCCCTAAAAGCCATTCCCAGGACCTTATAACCAAAAACTGTTTTCTTTTATTTCCCACGGAAAGGGTTTGGGACACTTAAAAATTTTTTTGATTGATCTCGAATTCTCTTTAAAATGTCGCCATAAGCAAAAAAAAAAATGATCTCTGGCTAAACTGCATGAAAGCACAGTGATCGAAAGTGACAATTTCACAGATTTTGTAGAGCGTCTCACTCTTGGCCGATCAGAGCGTACGTTGTGTTAGCCAAAGGCCCAAGCCATATGGTGACTTCAGATGCATCTGTAATAATTTCTATATACATTGACGAAATACAGGAAATTCTCCTGATTCAAAAACATGATAACAAGATACATCATTTGGGATCGATCAGTCAGCCATCTGATGCAACTGTATCATACACAGTGTCATCCCAGATGCGAAAAACAATGTACAAGTAATAAATAATAAAGTAATAAATAATTTTTCTTACAATTTGATGTAATAAACACTTACAAATTTTTAAAAGACTATGAATCGCCCTCGCCCTACGGGCTCATGCAATCGGCCATTTTACAGTTTTGTACTTAGTTGCCAAGCCTTTGATTGGAGTTAGGCTGAAGGTGACCTTGTTGTGATAGAGACCAGTATCTAGTAAGCATGATAAAAAAGTAATTTTCATTTGAAAAGCAGCAAGGTTTGTATCATAACAAGGTCAACCTTCGCCTCACTCTTGTTCAAAGGCTTGGCAACCAAGCACACAACTCGTATACGTTGTCGTCTTCGAAAAATTTACTCGTGCTTATTAACACCAAATTGCACTTTAAACCTTGTTGTATACATAAACAGAATATTGCTGTGATGAACTATTTATCGTCTAGTTATTAATTAAAAATGTCCACTTTTGGATATGAATAAATGTTTTACCATTTTTCCCTTATTATCCAATTATACAGACTCTTCCCCTCTATTGTTTCCTTACATAGATCTACCAAATAATGAAATTGACATTACCTAAATGAAATATCCTTCACACTCACAAAGGCAGGACTTTTATTATAGATTTCCTGTACCTAGAATAATTAATTGAAACAAGAGATCAGATTAAGAAAGTAACGTTACAAAAGCAAGCCAATGAAAATGTTCTGGAATACAAACCGCAGTTCTAACTTGACCTGCCAGGTTTTTATATCTTTCTGAAGTTCTCTCAGAAAGTTCTAAACTCCACTCCTCATTTGTAAGCTTCATTTCAGCTTTGACTGGTTTATCTGTCAAGATTCAAATAGCATTTTTTTTAGTCTTTCAAACTGCTCATAATGTGTAATCAAAGTACCTAACACCATTTTGAGTAAACGTTGTATCCTGTTATAGAAACTGTTGTTGTTCATTGTCTCATGATCTATGCATCGAAAACTGAAAAAATGTACCAATGACAGCGCACCACAACACACCAAGGTGCTATAAATAGCGACACCTAAACTTTCCACGTCGTCGCCTGACGATAACTAGCAGTAAGACGTCGAAACGTCGCAGTCAATACACGATTGCTTAGCCTGACTCTTAGATCGAGAGACAAACAATTAACCATTCATTTACGTAGTATCCTGTTTCATCTTTATCTTAGTCTCAACAGTTAAAGCAACATGGTAACAAATCAAGTCGAGAAAATTGTGTCACACACTACATCTTCAAAGGTGTGCTTGTCGCAGAAAAAAAGTTTTTCTCACGTTTTTTTTAAACAAGATAAAGATTTTCGAGCTCCAGATGAACAGCAATTACGTCTAAGAATTTTCAAATCTCTAAAAGAAAGCAAATCAAAGTATGGAAAGCCAAAAAATAAAAATTAGTTTTTGACCACACGAAGTGAAAATACTGCGGCAAAATGCTCTTATGGCGATTTCTTTAGCAGACGTACAAAAAGTTAAGAAAAAGAAATAGGAAGATTACTCCATCATGCGTTGTGTGGGCGATTAAGACGCTGCAGAATGTGATTCCTCGCAAGGTCGAGTTACAGTGGTTTCAAAATTTGTCCTTTAGTCACAAGGGGGGCCAGGGCATGTGGTTTAAAGTATAACGACGGCTATGGGTAATTAGCTTTCGTCTAATGAGACGTCAGTGCCTCACTATCATTTTACAAATTTAAGATGGCGGCCTAGTAGTGGAAAGCGGCACCTTTCTGAAAGACTTCGTAACGCTCTCAAGAGAGCAAACCAATTTAAGCAGCACGTATGCCTTAGCTTGAGAGGTTGCAAAATGAAAATCAGTGTTTTGTGGACCAGACCAGTTCCTAAAAATAGGTTTGCATTGTGTACGTGTGTCTAGTACAAATATGAGATGAGTGCATAGGTGTACCAAAGTGCAGTAGTTTTCAGGATCTCTTTTTTGGATTAACTATGTAACACTCACACTATGAGCTCCACGTTTTCTAAGCAAACAGAGCCTCGGGAGAGTTTTTCAATTGATCAAACTATGACTAACGGAAAACTGAATTTTGCAAATTTTTAAGCAATAGCAAGTACAATTTTAATATGAGATCAGTTTATGGGAACGAAAAAAACGGAAAGATTTCAACACGAGGTTTTCCATAAATATTTAATTCTGCAAAACAACGATAGATACATTTTGGGTACAATTCGCGACGACGTTCATATTAGTCATTATCGGACACCAAAAGAACACAAATATCGTAAATTAAAACAAAAGGAATATACAAATTATGCAGTGCTTTTAGTAGCTGAAAAGTGGATCCTCGTGAAAGAAACAAAGTCGTAAAATTTGTTAACTCATGCACTGCCTATATGGGGTCGTATAGTGCTGACCGCGCGTCGATCAAAAGATAAGAGTGACGATGCACAAAGTACCAAAGGTCAATTTTAAAAGTGAAAAGCATGCGTGAAAAGCGCGTATGATCGGAAGTCTATTCTGTATCAATAACTTATAAAAGACTGGTTTACTATCCAAAATAACCTAGCTTCGCCACCTCAGGCTCTTCTTAAGACACGACGATCCTCAAAACGCGTGGTTTTTTACGATGATAAGCTTTCTAATAACGTTTGCTTTTGCTTTTTTTTTTTACTTGATCCCGAATATCCCTCTGTTTACTCAAGGAGTCTTGTTCACCAAATGGCGATTTCCGACTTCTCACGGCAGATCCTATGACGAAATATCACTTCATGTAGCTGTCACGTATGCTAAACTTCACAGAGACCATAACATATTACGTCATTTTTTGTCCTACATGAAGCACCTACTAAATCTTTTACCGCTCTTGCAAGGTGTTCAGTTGCTACTCACTAGACACAAAAATGTATGCATAAAAAATAAATAAGTAAATAACTTATAAGGCCTATATTATTAGCTGTAGACAGGGTTCTTCAGAAATAACTAGCACTTCATTTTTTTACTAATCCTGTTAAAATACGTCAATCAAACTAATACCTTTTCCTAACCGAGTTCGAGGTCTGTACTGAACATTTCTCGTCGCTCTAGTGAAGTAGAATGACTCCAAATGACTAATGCACTTCGAAAGCAAAACAAGTCGAAATCGTTTTTCATTTGTCTTAAACACATATAAGGGAGATGAAACCGAAAAAAAATCCCATTGGCTCATTAGTTTTGTGTCGCAACAAAAACAACTTCAAATTTTGCCGGCCGTGTAGTTGT